TACTGGTACAAAAGACTATGTCGCCCTCTAGCGGCTGTCGGTGTAAAAATAACAAACATGAAATTATATATATATATATATATACAAACCTAGCCAAGGGATGAAAAAAAATGCAACTTGTCGTACGGACAAATACGGTACTAAAATATTTTCTTATGTAGTAAAGCTAATTCATACTTAGCTCCTGTGTCTTTGTCTCTGCTTAATAGCCTGCCATTGCTAACAAACAGCCCATTGTCCACATCCTGGGAATGCTGTCAAGTCTGTTCACCACTCTGGACATTAAAAGACAATCAGAAGACAGTGATGAAGTGGTCCCTGCCAGGACGGTGTCTACACAGAGTACTGAAAACCCAGTAAGTCAACGAGAACATCCGAAACGCACTCTTTTTGTAAAACAATTAAAATGCATATTCTTACACAAAAACATAAACAATACTTTGCACAAACACCTAAGACTGTCGATTGTTACATCAGTGACACCTTGTGGCCAGGATGCAAAGCGAAATATGACGATATACAGTATATTTTATATGACATGTTACGGTGCTTTTTTTTTTCTATTTTATATGACGTTACGGTGCATTTTTTTTCACACTCAAAACTTGTCTAAGATACGGTAAATGTTTCTATTTAGGTAGTGGTCGTTCTCCAACAACTCTTCACGCTGATCCAAACCATCCTTAGCAAGTGGCTCCATGACTCAGAAGTAGTGGAGGTAGGAATATATATATATATTTTACTTTTACTACTACTGTATATGTGAAATCTATCTTTGGTTTGTCACGTCGTGTTATGTCGCAGGCCGTGTGCGGGCTGTTCGATAAATCAGTTCGTACCCTCCTCCACGATTTTGGACCCCTGGTGGCTCAACTTTGTGACATGCTGGGGCAGATTTACACTGCGTACCCACAAGCCCCTGCGTTGGACCTTGCTCGTCAGGTGTCGTGCCGTACCGTACCGAACGCATCGGACTCCCAATCCCTCTACATCTGTAGCGAAGGCGCTTCAAATGTCTTGTTTTCTGCCGCAGATGGTTCACATATTCGCTGGCGAGGGACAACATGTCACCCACATCCAGAGGCTCAG